CTCTCTCTCTCTCTCTCTCTCTCTCTCTTTCTTGTTAGCTCTTAGTCTCATTGATTTGCCTACCTTAGGGCTGCGTTCCCCGCGCCCACGCGGTAGACAATTCGAATAGAACATTACCTTGTTTTTGTTTTTGGAGGTAAGCACCTGCCTTGTGCTCCCCACCACTGACATGCTGCATGCTACAGGGCTCTCTCTCTCTCTCTCTCTCTCTTCCTCTCTCTCTCTCTCTCACACACACACACACACACACACACACACACACACACTCACCCTCACATACACAGGTGCACACACACACACTTTTTTTGTCCCCCCAAAAGTTCTGCTTCAGCCCACTAGAGGAGGTGATATGAGCATTTCCGTAAGTGGACTTACTACAGACTGCTCCTGTCTATTGGTGGGGAGTGGCATCTGCTGGAAACCGGGTCCAGTATCCCGTGAACATTGTGAATAAAGCACCAGCCGGTGTCCTACCTCTTCCCCACACACACACTGTTGGACTTGTGTGTAGCCAACATGAAAAAACATAAACACAGCATAATCACGACCTCACCCTTCGCCAACTACATCAACAAACAAACTTGGGGCTACACACCCGTGCCCTCACCGTAAGTCAACGGGGTTTTGCACAGTTCCGTTCTTGGCCACGCCAGGGCGGCCAGGCCCGTAGTGGACGCATGCCATCGATAATAGCCCTGACCTGGCACAGGGTATTTGGGGCCATTTCTGGGATTTCGTAACCTGCGGGCATAGCCTGTCCTTGCCCATTCCGCTAATTCTGGTATCGTTGCACAGTTCTGCTCTGTGCTGCTCTCAGCACCATGTGCTGAGAGGAGTTTCGCAGTCGCAGCCCTGAAAGGTCTCGGATCCACCTCAACCGGCTGGTTCTTGCACCCGCATGAGACGATCTCAGCCGTTACGTTACGGAATTCACGGCCAAGGGCCTCGCTCCACCACAAACCACTCTACGTGCATCCGGACGCTCTAGGTGCATTCAAACGTGTCCAACATTTTGAATGTATCGGGTCTAGCGAGCTTCTACATGCATGTACAGTGTGTGGTGGTGGAGCGAGACCCTAATGGTGAGCGACGTTTTCGGGGAGAGAGAGAGGCCCGCGGGCGCCAGCCTTCCGTGGTCAGTTATTTGATCTTGTAGTGGAGTCCGGTTTCACTCCTGTTCTGCACCCGCGTGCGAGGCTGAGCGATCGCAGGGAGCAGGCCAGCGTGGCTCTCACCTACACACACACACACACGCACACAGGAAAATGGAAAAGAAAGGCGGTGTTTTTCACTTGAACTTTATTCTGCACGGCGGGAGCTGAGAGGGCAAGGCGCTTGGAAAGGGCGCGCTGATTCTGTTCATTTCGCGGTTCACGGAGATCGTTACCGGTGCTAGTAGCCAAGGGGCCACGAGAGCAATACGGCAGACGGGGAGAGTCTGTTCTCGAAGCCAAGCCCAGTATACCGACGGCATAGCCTTCGCTCCTGGCTTGGGTTACTCGGGCAACGCCCACGGTGTAGGGCAGGTGAAGAGTACGTTTTCTCATTTGCCTCAAGAGGGTGCGAACGGAGTCCTTCCTCTTCCCCACACTCTTCCTCTCCTTTCTTTTAGGAAAACGCTCTAGGAGGTCTTTGCCGTGCTGGTTCTCCATTCAGGGCCCTTTGGGTTGCCCGTTCTCTTTGCTCTTCCCGCTTCTTTGCCCTTGCTTCGGGTGTTCGTAGCTCGACTGCATTGACTACAAGGAGTGAGGAGAGCCCTATCCTCATCAGCTGGCGCTAGGCTGTCTGTGTGTCTGTGTGTGTGTGTGTGTGCCGGGAGAGGGGTGTCGGGTGAGGGCTTAAACAAGGGGGAGGACCGATGGGCTCGTTTGAAGGCCCGCCGTTGTGGAATGGAAGCCAAGGAAGCAGAAACCAGCATACTTCTCTGCTCTCCCACTGCTGAAGGAGACGGTCTTATCGACATCTCTCTCTACTCTGTTCCTGCCAGAGTCAGGACCAGCCATTCAGTGGAATGTGAGATGGTGCACTCGCTACTTGCCTGGCCAGATCGACAGTGAATCGCTTCATCAATCGGGTGTAGCGTCGACACCTACCGTGCCTCCACGTGGCGCTCACTGGCTGCTCCATTGATTGACACGTCATCGCGATCGCTTCTCCACTTATCTCCTCTGCTCTTTTCGAGTCGGGCGTTACGGTTCTGATATAGGTCGTCCTTTCCCCCCTCCCCCAATTGTTGGACTCTGTTTTTTTGTGCGTGTTTTTGTGCGTGTCAGAGTTTGTGTGTTTTCCCCCCTCCCCCAATTGTTGGACTCTGTTGTTTTGTGCGTGTTTTTGTGCGTGTCAGAGTTTGTGTGTGCGTCGAAGAGAGAGAGAGAGAGAGAGAGAGAGAGAGAGAGAGAGAGAGAGAGAGAGAGAGAGAGAGAGAGAGAGAGAGAGAGAGATGAATGCACCCGGGAGGTGGCGTTCTCACGGAGTGTGCGTTTGGCGTATTTTGCTTACGCGGTAAAGATAGCGGGTCGGCGATACCATCGTCAGAGTCTCTGGGGTGGCTAGAGTGGTTTCCTATCTAGTGCTACCTAGGCTCAGCAGATGGCAGTAGCAGGAGGGGGAGGGGGAGGAGGAGGAGGAGGAGGAGGAGGTGGTGGAGGAGGGGGAAGTATGATGGCCGAGCTGCCATGGCTCCACGCTCGGCGGGAACCGTTTGAGTTTGGGTTGTTACCAATTTCCTCACTCTCTAGCTATGACAATGTAACTTCGCTACGAGTTCTTCGTTCTCGACTTCTTGCTGCGTCGGAAGGCGGCGGCGGCGGCGGCGGCGGAGGAGGAGGAGGGGATGGAGGGGAAGTAGCTGGAGGGAGGGCGGAAGGAGGAGAAGGCCGCGTTGGGGAGTCAGGCTGTGATGACTTTGGGGCTTCTCCCGGCTCTTCCTCTTTCTCTTCGTCGAGCGCGACAGCTCTTCGGCCTACAAGTAGGGTGAGCAGCGCCGCCATATCCACTTGCTTGAAGTTATCGGATGTCCATGCCCGTCTTGTCGTCGACACCCTTGCGTCGGTGCTGCCTGATGAGGGAGGCTTTGGAGATCCTCTGGCGTGTGCTGTGGTGGCTGATGTGGATGCCATCGGCGCTGACGTGGACCACCTGCTTCTGTTTCTTTATCTGCAACAATACTCCAAATTTCCACATCGTCCGCGGAGGGGGGGTGACGTGTCCATAGCTCAAGATGTTTGGCCATCAGCATCCCCGTTCGATGGGATTATCGCAACGTCTCCATCGTCTCCAGTTCAGGTGCGTCTCTTTGTGTATCTATGACTAGCTGTTGGTTGCTCTGTGTATGTAACCTCTGTTTGCTACACTTGGTCTCCATGTCTGAGGTGTACTGCGGATCTCTTCCTTTCTCCTCTTTCCCGTCTTCTCTTCTTTTCCCGCGCTCTTTGTCTTCCGTCTCTTACATCTATTCGTTCTCCTTTCCGCCGACCGCTCTTGAGTTAAATCTGTCTTCCTTCTCCCCGCTCCCCCCCGCCCCCCCCCCCCCCCCCCCCCCCCCCCTCCCCCTCCCGCGCTCTCTCCTGCGTTTCACCTCTCTTTCACGCTCTCTCCTTCTCCCTCGCTCTTTCCCGCGCTCTCTCCTGCTTTCACCCCCTTGTCCCTCTCTTTCGGATCTTCGTGCTCCCTCTCCTCCTCGCTTGCCTCTTCCCCCCTCCTCACTCCACCATCCCCCCCCTCTCTTTCCTCGCTCCTGTTGCTCTTCGTTGGCCGCTTCTCTCTTGCCATCGCTCCCTCGCAATCTTTCCCGCGCAATGCGCTCTCGCGCACTTCGCTCCATTACTACTAGATTTCTATGCCGGAGTGCCTCACGGTCTTTCGTTCGCGCTCTCTCACTGGGTATTTATTGGCACTCTCATCTTGTTCTCTTTCCTGTGCTTTTGCGCTCTTTCTGCTGTACTATTTACGCGCACTTTTTCTGGCGCGTTATCCCTGCGATCGCCAGGCCGTTCTCTCCGCTGGGGACTCCTTTGTTCCCCTGTGCGCTCTTTTTCCCTTCACTTTGTCCTCTCTCCCTTCACTCTGTCCTCTCTCCCCTCTCTCTGTTCTCTTTCGCCTTCACTCTGTCCTCTCTCCCCTCTCTCTGTTCTCTTTCGCTTTCCTTGTAGCGCTCCCCCTTATGCTCAATTCTTTCTGCCCTCTTTCCCTCACTCTCTCCGTGGCCCTTTTCCTTTCTCCGCCCTCCTGTCATTCACTGCCTTCTCACTGTTCCTCTAACATCTATTCTCTTTGCGCACCAGTTTTTTTCTGCAGAAAACCCGAAACTCACTGGGGATGTTGTTAATCCATATGCTGTGCTCGTCGCCCTTCTCATCCTCCTCTTCTGCACTCCCCCTAAGACGCCGCGGGTGTCTCGATCGGGTTTCCCTTTCCTTTCGTCCTCTTCCCGATGCTCTGCCCCTTCTCCCGTGCGCGGTTCCATCTCCTCGCCCTCGTCCCTCCCGCTCCTCTCTTCTTTCCATCCTTGCGAACCCTTTGCATCCTTTTTTATCCTTTTCGTCCTTTCAGTCCGTTTCCGATCGTCATTCAGGCTCTTTTGTTCCTCCTCTATCCGTCCTTCATTCTCTCTCTCTCTCTCTCTCTCTCTCTCTTGGAGTTTGTCCGCGAATTTCACGCGTAGTGCCTTTCTCGTGTTTCGTTCGTTTCTTCGTGTTCGTACTAGTTCTCCCAGATCTGCCTTCCCAGACCTTCCTTCCTAGACGTCCCCCTCCAGACCTTCCTTCCCTCCTAGACGTCCCTCTCTAGACCTTCCCGCCTAGACCTTCTTTCCAAACCTTCCCTTCTAGCCCTCCCCCTCCGGACCTTCCCTCCTGGACATCCCTCCGCCGATCTTCCCTCCTGGACCTTCTCTCCTGGACCTTCCCACCCTTACAAACCCAGAGCTTCTCTCCCTGACAAACCCAGAGCTTCTCTCCCTGACAAACCCAGAGCTTCCCTCCCTGACAAATCCGGATCTTAGCTTCCAGACAAACTCAGATCTTACCTCCCAGACATTTTCTCTCAGACCTTCCCTCCCAGATGTACCTCTCAGACATTCTCTCTCCCAGATCTTCGCTCCCAGGCCGTCCCCCTTGACCTCCCATGTCCGAAGCAGGTCCCTCCTAGACCCTCTTCCCGTAGAGACCCGATTGACCTCCTCTCTCTCTCCCGGAAGTCGCTCGAAGCGATCAATTAATCCCACATCTATTAGCGGAATAAATGTCGCTGACATCGATTGCATGGTTTCTTGTCGAGTAATCAGTCAGGTCCATTGAAATCAATCCAACACAGAATGCACCTTATCAATTAACACTAAGAGAGAGAGTCTGACGATCATCGCTGTTCATTTTTAGGTCAATTTCCTTTGTGGCTAATACAGACTTTTTTCGTTTGGAGGGAAGGGGGTTATTGAATCATACCCAACTGGGGTCCTTCCAGTATTGTTGGGATTCTTACCCCTCGTCAAGGGCCTCTTATGCCAAACCCGATGAAGTGATTCGGGTAGCGCACGGGTTGGGGCCCCTGTGTGTGCTCTTGCGCCGAACGTGACCGGGAAATGGTCTAGATTCATGGGAAATTTGCAGTGCGATCCTCCAGGTGCGGTTTGACCCTTGTGCGATGATCATGGTCGACTTAAAAGAAGCACCAAACAAGTCACAGATCTGTCAGCTATTCCTGCGTAGGAACGGCCAGGTCCGAGGCTAAGAGGCTTATACATTTCCATATTTCTGAGAGATAATGTCAGATCTGCCATTAGCCAGTGTCCAGGCTTCCACACCTTCCACTCACTCGAAGATAATGTCAGATCTGCCATTAGGCCGTGTCCCTGCTTCTACACCTGCCGTTAGGAAGGGTTCATGCGTCCACCCCTGCCGCTAACTTGGAGATAATGTCAGATCTGCTGTTAGGCAAAAGGCGGATGCCCTGCCTAAACTGCAGATTGGACGGCGCGGGAATTGAACCCGCGCCTTGTAGGATGGAGTTCCATGGGGCAGCCAGTACGGGTTTGGAAGGTAGGAATCATTAGGCAATGTCTATGCTTCCACACCTGCCGCTCAGTGGAAGACAATGTCAGATCTCCATTAGGCAGTGTTCATGGCAGACATGGTTCCACACATGTCTGCCATTAGGCAGCGTCCATGCTTACACACCTGCCATTAGGAAGTGTTCATGCTTTCCCCATCTGCCGCACACTGGGAGATACTGTCAGATCGGCCATTACCTAGGCAGGCGGGCAGGGCGGAAGCCCTGCCTGAACTGCAGATTCGATGGCGCGGGAATTGACCTGCGCCTTGTAGGATGGAGTCCTATGGGGCAGCCAGTACGGGTCGGGGAAGGTAGTAATCATTTATTTTGCTAGCTAATCTTTTTAACTCTTTATCTTCCACACCTGCCCTTCGATGGGCATGATCCTGGACCTCAATTGAGATAATCCAAGTGTGAGATTGATAGAGAACAGTGGCACGCATCTCTGCAAGTTTTGAGTTGGGCACAAGTCTCCAGATCTGCCTCTCATTAGAAACGGGATCTGACTTGTACTCCCTGAAGTGGTATATTTGGAATCTGACGTGGACAATCGAAGTCTTTTTTTTTTCTTTTTTTTCAATCTAGGTGATTTGGAGTCTTGCACTGGAAGAGTATATCCAGACCTGGTCGAAAAGAGACCCATATGTCCCGATCTGTCCCTCGGGAGTCCGTATCCCGATATCCGGTCCTGTGCAGGATCCCAACTTTTCAGATCTGACATGGCGTATGGAGATGCCAACTCAGTCCTCTTACATTCGAGAGACAATCCCTGTCTTGCCCATGGCTTGACACTGCCTATGGGCCGCGAATTTCTAGATCTGCCATTATTATTCTTCCCCCCCG